TAACGTTAAGCCATAGAGGGACTTATTTAATGTCAGTTGCGGTACATCCGATACCTAACACCAATTACATATTATATTTTGTTCATCCTTTCGTACTGGAACGCTCAACAAACATCGTCTCTTGCGCCCCTCTTCCAGATAACTTCTCAGGTAAGGTTTCAGCGGCGAACGACACGAAACACATATATGTTGCCTGATGGTGCGTCGGTCATGATTTCACAGATAGGGAAATAATTAGAAACGTATCCAAAAGTGAATCCCATAAGACGTGACAACCAAATTGTTCCAATACGTGCGATATGAGGTGAGAGTTCATACCTGTAGATTTTCTCAGCCTGAATATTTCACAGATAGGGAAATAATTAGAAACGTATCCAAAAGTGAATCCCATAAGACGTGACAAGGTTTAACAAGGTTATGCACGCTATACTCCACTCTCAAGTATGGACATCTAAAAGAGTCGGACTTATGGAAGAATCCTTCTTGCTTGAGCCGGCTGCTTCCGTTCAGGTCTTGTCTAATCGTAAAGTCGAAGTACTTAAAAGAGGACATTTTGTCACCCTCTTCTTTCCGCTGCTTAAATAGAGACCTATCAGAGCATCTGGAGTAGCCAGAAATTGAATCTGACATAAGCATCAGGAAGCAACCTTCAGAAACTTCGAGTTAGAGGTGAATTTTTGACTGCGGCATGTTGGGCATGGCATAGGATATGCTTAGAAAACAATAGGTTTTTACATTGCGTTGCATACTGAGCAAATATAGCCTCCGAAACATTTTCTTGGATTACCAAAGGTGATTCGTCTGGAGACGTCGAGCACGAGACCCTTCCTCTTCAGCTCATTTTTAATGAGCGATGGGATAGATCAAGGGAGATGGATCTGTTTTCGAAAACCTGGCGGGTCCGATTGATAAATTCAGTGCAGAGGGCCTTATCGAAAAACAAGGAAAATGATGCATCAGCGAATTTAGTGGTGTTCATAGAGATAGAGGAGGAATAGTGAACGAAAAGGGAAGATGAAAATCGACCCGCTTGGAGTCCTGGCTCATGACTATTGCAGAGGACCCTAAGGGCTCTTGTGGCATTTTTTTGGCACTCTCGCCACGGTCATGTGCTTAACCTGAATGGTCAAAGGTCACGAAGGCCTTTCTTTGAAAATGTGTTTGTCCCTAACCTTTGATCACAGAAACGACAAATTTGGGCCGTTCTTCTCGCCACAGAACATATTAACCGTCATCTGGTCTAGCTTTTTTACAACCTATTCCGGGCAAGGTGAGTCTGTCAGACTCATGTAAATAAGGCCGTTTGCTGCGGTTACGGTATGTATTCTTATAAATAGCAGTACTGTAACTAAAATAATACAGATAATTTATTCAATGGTCCTGATAGTTTAAAAAAATAATGAAAGTAATAGACCGAAATATGTCGTAGTGAGTCCAGCGGACTCACCTTGCCCGGATTAGGGTTAAATGATGAACATAAAAATGTGCTCATCTCTCTACTCCCCGAGAAGCCCTGGCGCCATTAGTGTAAGTTCGTGTTTCGCCAATTCGCTGCTTCCATCGCTCATTCTCTGTAGAAACATCGCACCGGAAAAAGCATGCTGCATTTTTTGAGCGCATCCTCGTCCATCTTCGTGTCAAAGGGCACGATGATTCATTGCTTCGTTTTCCTAGAAAGTTCGAATATATGCCTTTAAAAAAAAACCTTTTTCTCCATAGTACCCAAGATGCATAGTCACTTCTCGAAAAAGAGAAGGAATTACGAAATGTCAACAAACGAATCTGTGGGGAAGATCTCTTAAGAAACATCAGAACCCTTTTCAAGCGAATCTGTTCACCCTCCTCAGATCCTTCACGATTTCACTGAAGCCAAGTCTGAAAATCTCAAGGGTGACAAAATTATGAAAGTTTTTTTTTTTTCGTTTTAATCAGAAGTGACGGAATCCGGTATAACTTTCGTCGGAGGAAGACTGTTTTAGGATTCCAATGAAGTAGAAATGATTCACTTGACGAAATGGATATGGACATGAGAAAATAAACAATGGTTTTTAGTTATGCCTCTGCTGGAGTATGATGCAATCGCACAGGCTGTTACTCCCTGGCACGCCCTCCCTCTTTCGTCACTTCTGCACGAGCATGGCTCGAGCACGAGCCATGCTCTATGGCACGAGCTCTTCACATACCTTTTTTCCCTGCTTCGTACCATCTATTGCGGGAAGGAGGTGTCTGAATTAGACGCATTGCAGACTTTCCGGCGCTGATGTTGGCCGGGTTGACCCAAATAAATTCAATCTACTTCATTGTACGCACTCTGGGAGATAGTTACAATCAAATTCCTTGTTTGACTCTTGACCTCCTGAACACTTCACTTCAATATGTTTTCCACATCCGAAGGATGCGGAAACATGTTATATTTTTTATGAGTATCACTATCTCCGTGGTAAATATTTATTTTCTTAAAGGTTGCATGGAGAGCGCCGAGAATGATTAAGTAATTGCTCGGAAGCAGTAAAGGGTTATAATACTTTTTCATTTTTAATAATAAGGTAAAGAAACGAGCGGAGGTATATTGACTTCTCTTGGCTGCGGGCGAGTACAACTTAATATATTTTTTAATTATAAACGAATGTTGGTCTCGGAAGGAAACAACCGTTGGGAAAATGCATAACGCTATTTTTCTTAGACTATTAGACCTTTTAGATCGCAGTGCCCCTCAAATTCCCTCCGCTTGGGCCCTTTCACTCCCTCATCGACCTCCTACATCGTCGATGCCACTGGCCATGTAAACCCTCTGATAGTTCAAAACTGATCGTTTTGCTGGTGCGCTTGTGATGAATATCATCTTATTGCATGTCTCGATCGGAGTAAGTGAACGCGCTATCATTTTAGCGTCGGATGATCTTCGTATGCAAAGATATGTCACTCTATAATTTCCGTCGAAGGGGAAATCGATCTGAGACATTTCGCCTTAAGTGATCGTATCATAGTTGTGCCTCTGACAGGGTTTTGCCTGATTCATGCGCGGAGTTTTACATTGAATTATTATTTTCAAAAATACAAGTTTTAGGCTCTGGTTCAAATGATTCCCCAATTTGCCAAAAGGCTTAGCGCAACAATGGCTCCTTCATGGCAACGTCGGCAGGTCGTCGGCATTGGCAGATACGCTTGGCTCAGTAAGGACTCTAGCTTAGCTAGCCATTTTTTGGCACTTCATTGGTGGAGAACATAGGCCCTTTCATGGATTTAGGTTGGTTTCCCATTATCACCGCAATATTTTTAAAATACCCTGGCCCAACAAAGCCTCAAGGTTGGCTTGTCATTATTGGCATAACATTCGCCTAAGACGTTGACCCAACGAAGGCTCATGGACCCATGAACGGATTTTTAGTATGAATTCATCCCTCAAACGATTCAGTCCCAGTAACACCTTGTGATCATCAAACGAGGATCACCAGGTATTAGTGTATATAGTGATTTTCATTCCTTCCTGTGGTCGTCACACACTTCTTCGCATATAATCCTCCGAAGACATGTAGAAGCGGACACGCAAGATCATTGTGTCAGCGTCTTAATTCAAGTAATCATTGGAGTAATCATTAGTAATAAAGTAATCATTGAAGTAAACTGTGTTCACTTCATGAGGATTTGTTTGGTCCCATTCATATCTACAATTGGGCACTAGGACTTGAATTAAGTCCATTTTACAAACTCTTCCCAAGGTTACACCATGGGAAAATACGTGATTCTGCAAAAGCGGCCCAAACCAATTCACATTCCCGTTGAAGGAAGTGTGTGCATGGAAATGGCATTGATGTAAGAATCCGCAAGTGATGCCTAGGCCGCTCTAAATAACGATGTCTAGGGAAAATTGTCCCACCTGCTTCCCTGTTGGAATGCAATGTATAACACATTTGCATCCACGAGCGTACAGGCAGGCATGAAAACGTGTTCTTCCATATGGCCTATGACCTAGAAAGGCATAGACCAAGAGGCCTGGCGCCCCAGGTTTAAGCAGCAGGGTATTAGGTCAGATAGGCCGAAAAGTTCCTGGATGTGAAAGGGTCAATATTGTTGTAGGCCTGATCGTCTGTCCAAGAGGTAGATATAGGCTTGCCAAGTCAGTTCCGTCAGGGCACATTGTTGAACTTAATCTGTACTACGGAATGCAACAACTATTTGATTTCCATCCCGCTTCCTTGAAGGAATAAAGTGTAATATATCAATAGTAGTAATACTGTAGAACACACCCGCGTTCCGCGGTATCCGCTCGGGGGGAAGCAAAACGTCAACAGACAATATAACTCTGGGTTTATTTTTAATTGACAGTAAGAAGAAAATGTAATAAGTAAATGGATAACGTTCAAATTCACAAAGTGCTACGTTTTGGATCAATGGCAGATGTGTTACGTCATTAGGGAACTCTAAACTGGATATATGCACATTGTTAGCGAGTTGCGTCTCGTACTATTAAGCGAAACACGTATCTGATCGGGCGGCAGCTCGGTTGGTAACAGGTTTATTATTGGCTGCAGGCGAATACGTTATCAGAGGTTATGCGTTATCCAGCCACATAGAGATACTGGAGGAACGTAATGACTCATGAGAGCACATAGGAGGCCAGTACGAATGCGACGTCATGGGATAGCACGAAACATCAGCAGAGCCGCTTATAAGAGGGACGAACCAAGAGACTCCGAGTTTTGAAGCCTTGTGGCCTAATCTGACTGGGCCAAACCGACCGGCCCACGGGTGGGGTCGGCAAAGTTCGCTGTTCAATCGAATTTCCGGTTGGTTACGACCACGATTAAAAATTGGCCAATCAAGTCGAGTTCGAAAAAGTCGACCCGTGCATGCCTCCGACGTCCAAACATACGGAGGATTTCCGCTATAATAATATGCAGGGTGTATAAGTAACTCCCTGTCTCGAAAAGCTTGCTAACGTAACATGGTGCAAGAGATATATCACATGAAAATACTGCATGAATTGGCAATAGTGAGACATGCTTCAGTATGTGTCAATATTGAGAGTCGAGGTATGAGTATGTAATATTAATGTTTTCATATAAATGTTTCTTTCTACGAGGGCAAGCCTTGTATTACCTTTTTTCACCAATGCCCTTCTTGTCCCCAGCGGAAATGTTTTGCCGGCACTACATCCCTTAAACAGTCCATTTCGAGCGAAATGAGTTCTTTTTCGATTTTCACGCCTTGATCCTCTCGAAGCCCCTAAATCCAATGCAATACTGTTTTGCAGGTGTATAGGAGAGAGTGGGCCACTATGGGTAACGGGACACCACGCATCAGGCTGTTTATAGGTTTCCCAGCTCTGTGTCTCTTCATGCTGTCTGCTGCTGATGTGCTTCAAGCTGAGGTGCCTGGAAAGTACAGTTGAAAAAAGGGTAGTTCACACCCAAAGAGCTAATTATGCTGATGCTTTTCTGTAGAATAAGCTTTTTCGTTTTTGTGGACAGTGAAATCTAGATATTTGCTCTTTACTTGTTTTCATGAAAAGTCTTGACTCTTTAAAGAATTTAATTCTGAAGATCGGTAGTTCAATGCCTGCACGTATGAACTAGAGTCTCAACTTACTTTGGTTTTAATCCTATACGTTATAAACGTAATGAAGCTACATGCGTGCCTATGAAGCCTCTGATTTAGCCTAGTAGTCGAGTGGTCAAAAACCACTTTCGCATTCAGACGCCTACTGGGTTTGATCCCCATTGAAGACGAAATTTATTTTTAAAAATAAGGCACCAAAGGGCACTAATGAGATGAGAATGACTGCGTAGAGGGTTTGGAAATTTACTGCGGGCATGCAATACAAGTTCTATTTCTTTCTTCTGGTAGAGGAATGGGCCTCCAGAAAATTGGGATACTATTAGACAGCATCGTCGGAGGATCCGAGATGACTTCAATCTGGATGTGGATGAGTTGCTTGGATTTTTGAGCGACAAGAGAGTCTTCACACATAATGAGGAGAAGATCATTCGTCGAGTAGATGATCTATCGGAGCGATTTGATAAGCTCTTCGACATCCTTCTCGTCAAGAACCTGGATATGATTCCCCTCTTCTACGAGACCCTCTCTGCCATGGGGAGGAATGACATCAGGGAATTTTTACAAGGTATGAGAGATTTTCACCCCTGAAATTTCAGATTTACCTTACATATAGAGGTTTGGAAGGGCATTGAGGGAAACAACGTTTAATATTGTCATTGCTTTTGTATACAAGGATACGAAAGCTTGTTGTGTTACCATACATCCAAGTGCTCAAAATTTGCTTGGGAAACTTGGCAATATTTACCATATTGGGAATTGTGTAACTCAATTTTCAATGAACGTAGTATGAAATGCATTTAATAAAGCGATTTTACATTGTCTCAGCTTCAGTTAGAGTGCAAAAACACTTTTGTAGCTTGACCAGGACCAATGATAGCTCTTTAAGTCTAAACGTCCCTTTTCCTCTTCAGGGCTAAGTTTGAGGCCGTATATCTCGAAAACTGTTTAACTTAGAGACAAGATTTTTGTTTATTTTAATTAGTCTTGATTGCCAGTATACGATACATTTGGAAAATGAATCGGAGCCTGAAGCGCAACTGCCCTTTGACTGCTTGAGCTTTTGGTTTTTTTTCTTAACAAATTGCCTCTGTATACCTGTGTTGACACATTCTTTCCCTACACAATAAACAACCTGTCAGGAACGTAATTGTCAAAGTATCCACGGTTCGTGTGACCTGAATTTTGGTCCCAAATTTCACCTGCCCTCAATTCAGTTCATTAATATTGTTGGGCAAGATTGTGTAATGCAATATATCTTCACGTAATAATCACCGTTCAAGCTCGTCAGTTAAAGCGTTCAGGCAACATTAATTTTTCCTATTGAGATGTGCCTTTCCGATATTAAATGTGCTAATAGGCCTCACGGAAATGATGGGAGGCAACATTCACGGAAAATGAGAGATTCACTTTCGTCTCGCCAAAATGTGTTGCACGTTGCAGTGAGAAGTAATCTCGCTTGGGCTGAATGGTGCGCTGCATGTAACATCCTGTTTTAGTGGTATAACCCCATCTAGAATATTGCAATTTTTTACTTCATGGTCATCATGCTTCATTAACGTACTGATGAGCCAAGTTGAATGATAGGTGAAATGAGCTTCGAATAATGACGTTGGCGTGCTCAGTGTTGGATTGCTGTTTCGGCTCTGGGATATCACGAAACTTCTTACAGCCTTTGTGGACACAATGTTCCTTCACATATTCGAGCGTCAAAGATAATCTGCGCCTTGGTTCGTGGCCCATGAAGAGTCGTTCTCTTTCCCGCTCCAATACATTCATCATTTGAACGGGTGTCTTTTGCAGTGATAAAATATCACTTTTACTCCAATCTGAAAGGTTTGAGAAAGTTTGGTTAGGTTAGGTAAGGTTTGGTTTCGAGGAAGTTATTTTGCAAGAGTTGTCATGAAAACACACTTTCTACAGCTATCAGGAAGAGAAATGCAGACTAGCAAGAAAATGCCACAATTACAAATAATTGAATTGTATTTTCTAAAATAATGCAATCCGTCTACGCGTCATTAAGATTTATATCATGAATCATACATTCATACAATCATACTTTTTGCTATATTTTCCAAATACCAGCGAAAATTCGTCGATTGCTATTAAAATGATGTTCTTTCTAAGTTGTGGGCTACGCAGAAGGCATTTATTGGACGTTTCAGTTGAAAACAGTAAAAGACTAACCTAACCGAACTTCATGAAACCCTTCACATTTGGATAGAAATGATACAATTCATTTCACAAATGAAACCGATTACATAAATATTCATTTAATAAAAATCGGTTTAGGGCCAAAAATGGGCTAAACTAAACTAACCAAACTTGCTTAAATTGCTTCCAATTCCTCCAATCAAATGAATATTTCATTACGGCTTCATGTTACTTTTGATTGCACGAAGTCATAGCAGCCTTGCCTTATTCTATTAGTATGCTTCGCTGGGACAAAAACGTCTTTTTCGAAATATTGATAATTCTCCCCCACTATTTCCCCCAAAATAATTTTCCTGAGAAAAATATATTAAAATTCAGATTTTTCTTGGGTGTATTTCTCCCATTGCTACTTCAGCACACATTTTAAGCCCCTTAAATTTTAATATTGTGCTGGAGCGAATTAGGATTCTAGAAGTACTTCCGAAAAAATATTCCCTGAAGGGATGTACGAGGTCTGATAAGAAGTTCAAAAATAAACTGATTTAGGTAGGGGGCTAGGACTTGTATAAGTGGGAGTGGGGGGGGGCATGCAGGGGGTAACCGTACGCATGTTGAAACCTCTTTGCGCTATGATTAACCCGTCGCGAATCACGAGCGTTGAAATCCTGTCGTCTCTGTGCTCTTCGTCGAGTTTTCGATCATGCATCATGATCCTGATGCATCAGGATTTGGTCAAACAAGGCCAGACAGTTAACCAGTCTTACTACAAAGATGTATTGATCCTTCTGCGAGAAAAAATTAGGAGAAAACGGCCTGAAATTTCCAAAATAAAGCCTGGTTTTTGCATCACGAGAATGCTCCAGCCAACAATGGCTAAAAGAAAAACATTTATGAGCTCCGTGTGTCTATCTCCTGTTCTAAGATTAAATTTCACCCGAAAGGAAAAAGATTTGAAGAAATTGTAAGCATCAAGGAAAATCGAACGAAAAAACCGTTGGCAAAACTTACTAAAACAATATGCCCCAGAACATGCACCTCTAATATCGGAATCATGTTAAACTCATCACTGCAATAGCAAGATGATAGCCAGTTTCTACCTTTCCATGTATTTTTGATATGCTGGAACAAAAGCAAGTTATTGGAAAAACTCAATCCCAAAACAATATCGCCTTGTTTCATGTTCCTGGAGTAACATTTTAAAAATTGAAGTTAGCAAATCAAAAGTAACGTTCATGACCCTTTCCAGCTTTTCATATCCCTCCATTAGGCTGGCACGAAGTAATTTATTTCAAAACATCTCATAAAAAAGAATTGCCCCTTGGCCTAAACCTATAACGTGATAAATTTTCCGAAGCAGCATCCCAATAGCTACCAATGTACTTTCTTTATGTGTTTTGTTAGACAGGTCAAATCTCGTTACAACGAACTTCAAGGGAATGTTCAGATTATTTCGTTGCAATGAAATTTCGTTATATCGAATATTGCTCGAAACAAGTCAAAAGAAACATTCTTTATTGAAATTAGCTACACCTTCCAACGTACAGACCACCGATGCAATAATATTACAGTTTATTTGTTTGGAGAAAATCTGTAATTTTGGATTGCACATGAATTAATGTTACCTTGTCAACGTCAGCGCAGAGCGCACCACGCATTTTCTTTCGTTTTGGTCCCAGAGTGGCTTTCCTTAACTTTTCTTCAATTTTGCCAGGATCCTTCGAGGACAAGCGTAGCGTAGTGGTGAGCGATGCCAAATTCTTTTGGCACGTCTCCTTTTTTACTGCCGGAATCTACTGCTTCCACGACGTTTATTTTTTCTTCTGACGAAAGCTGCCGGCGTTTCTGCGGGATGGGGCGCACAAGTACGCTGTGTTGTAAGTGACAAGGTTTCGGCCACAACTACCCAGCGCCGATTATTATGCGTTCCTCCTTGCGCTAACAGTTTTTATGCCACAATCGTGGGAAACAGAGAAATCTGACTCTCAAGGCTCAAATGGAAGGAGGGAGCTGTCGTGAACCACAGACGATCGTCTCTTCGTAAATTGTAAGGTGTTATATATTTTTTCGTTATAAAGAATGAATATTATTCGTACAAAACAGGAAAAAAGTGTTCGTTGTACTGAATTATTCGTAATAACGAATTTCGTTTTCACGAGATCTACAACGTACTATTACTATTGGCCAAACGAGTGGGGCTTGAAAATATTCTAGTTATAGTGAGATTTTCGTTGTAACGAGATTTGACCTGTATCAAGAACATGGTTAGGAATACCATCAGTCACTCGAATACGATCGTCTATATATATCACATATGTACAAGGGATTTAACATGTAGACGGTCACGACAATGCCGGCATATTGCGTTTTCCCATTCAGTAAGGCGCACCAGTGCGCCTCGTGGCGCTTAACTTGCTAAAATTGGTTGGAATTAGTTTCTTTAATCGATTCCTTTACGTGCATGCTGAATTTTGAAAGAATCTGGTATGGTCCAGCTCAAGTTCTGATCGATTTGTCATGAAACGAACAATTAACCTTGGAGGCACAATTCCAAGAGAATTTTCTCGCAACTGCTTTCGTTTCTGCCCATCGGACAAGTATTTCAAGACCCTGAAACCATGTATTTAGTATGAGTATATACATTTAGTACTGATATCAGGAAACATACGTTTGAGAACATATTCCCTGGGGGAAATTCTCTCTGCGAAGTATTCCCTGAAATACCTATTCAACCAGAAAAAAATGAAATAAACTGTTCTTTTCTGAGGGTAACTTCTTCCGTTCTGGAAATAAATGACAAAAAATGGAACATTGAGAAATTTTCATTTTTGGGGTGATTTCTGAACAGTCTTCATAAGGGAGCTAAAACTTTTAGGGTGCTTTCTTATACAATTGCTGTGAGTTTGTTTACCCGAAGGGCAAACAAGCTTACTATGTTCGCGCCTTCTGCACTCCAGGATAATGATTAAGTTATTTACAATATCCGTTTTGACCAATCTGGTGAAATTCCCAGGGTCATAGGCATATTTATTGCCATATCAAGCTGCTTCCGATTATGTGTCGTCATTGGCAAACTAACAAACGTAGATCTATCGCATCAAAGTAGACGCACCGAGAGGTACATCGGCATCGTATCTGAGTCACCTATACCTGCTGGAATTCTTTATGGTTACAGTTTATGGAAACGTGCGAATAACTTTTTTGCCACATTGAAATGTAGCTTAATGAAAATTATTTTCCTTGGATATTTACAAAATAAGCTTAACGGTATCTCAGTTACCTGTATCTGCCTCCTTGCAATAATACGTTTCTCGGAAAATGTCCTCTGAAAAGTTATGTTTCAAGAGGATATATGGCAAAAAATAAATACTTTCTAAATATGTATTTGTGAAAATATATTTCTCCTTAAATACTAATTGTAATCTCTTTGTTTTGTGCAAGCAAAAACTTTCTGGGATACATGTGTTTAAAATACATAAGTTTCCAGTGTGGATATACCTGAAAGAAGAAAAATATCCAAAAATACGTTTCCCAAGAACTGCAGGATTGCCAAATATCAGTTATCGATTGCCCTACTTTCCTCCCCACCAGGCTACGACTATTTAAAGAAGCTAAAAGAAAGACCCATGATAATGGGCCGTGGAATCATTAAGATTGAGAGGCGGTGGTTTAATAGATAAGTTGCAATAAAGTTCGCCCATAAGAGGAAAAGTCACCCCAAAGGTTAAACGGCTGGCATTGGTCCTAGTTGAACTAGGGAAAACATTTTGTTGACGTCAAATGAACACTGAGACTAAGGTTAGATTTTACAGGTTTTTGCTTTCAGTAGTTAACCTTTTTTCTTAACTAATACGATATGGATTTTCCTTTTTTTTAAAAGAGGGAATTTTGGTAACAATGAGTTAAAATACAATAGATTATAACAATGAACATGGATGAATTTGAACTGTTTACTTTGAAACAACGGAAATATTAATTTGAAAACTGCAATGGTGTCATTCTCTATTGTTTTCGCGGATTTCATAACATGTTTCAAGCAAGGCAAGAATGCCAAATGGAATTTCACTCTTGGACACTTCTGAGTATGAATTATGTATTATGTTAATTTGAATGTCGTTTTTTCGCGATATTTTGCGCTTCAAACATACTATGCAATCTAATTTACCAAAAATGGCAAAATTACCAATTTTGCCCAACTTCCTAAGCATGATGATCATGGTGACAAACCGGCATACTCCGACAGAGATCAGTGAAAAGCTGTAATTCATTTATCCCGCATTGTTTCAATCATGAGAGAATCAGAACCTTAAATATCTCTTATTCCTGAAACTCCCTTCCTTTTTTTGCAGATCGACGACGGAGTAGAAAGTCTGAATTGTAGGGGAAATCGGGGAATTCTGCAACGACTTTGGATCCTTACTATTTGTTCTCTTGTTTCATTGGAACTGATGGCATATGTATGAACAGGACTGTGTTGTATTATTCCTTCGATGAAACTTGACGAAAAGACAAATCGGATGACTGGAAGCACGGAAGTATTTCCCTCATTGGAATGTCGAGAGATTAATTCTGTCGTAATCAGACTTAATGGTGAGCATTTGGCTCATTTCGAACCTCTTCTGGTCAAGTCGCAACACTTTTCTGGGAATTCCACAACCCTTACTTCTTCCATATCCCTTCACCCTTCAAGGCCGAAGCTATTAGTTATTAGCCCTTACACTTTTGAAATAATGGTTCTTCCCTTCCATGATTTACCAGGAGTTCAGGTATGAAATATAAAACAACATCTTAACCGAATAAAGCGAAAAAAGAACATCTCCGAGGTTCCCCATGACAAGAAAAAGACGTCATTTGTCTTTTCTCTTAGCTTTTTCTCGGCAATGGCAATTGGGGCCTCAATGTTTTTTTTTTAAAGGGGAAGGACCTCTAACATGATCCGTAAATTTTCTTAGTGGAATTATTTTATTTCAAGACTGAAACTCTATTACTCTCGATTTCCAAAGTTGAAATATAATTTTACAACCCTCCTCTATTATCATATTATCATATCATACATCATAGTATTTGGTTATTCGTGGCACTACATACATTTTGGAGTCCTATGCAATCCCATCTTGCCAGACTTTGTGACGTTAATTGCCGCATATGTATCTTCCTGCAAATACATATTGCTTGTCCCAACCATATTGATGATTGTTATTGGTTATTTCCCTTGTCCTTTGCTTCTTGCAGCTTCTTTGGCATTACCATTGGGGCTTCCCATTTTTTTGCAAATGGCAATATCACAACTTATTATAAGTAACTTTGAATTGCAAGTCGGATGCACCCTGCATAAGCACGACACAAGATTGAACGTATCTAACACCATCAAAGAACTTAATGAGAGTGCAATCTACGTCGCCATATGTCCTAATACATATTTATAAATAATGTTCCACTCATGTTGGACTATCGGACTCTCGCTATAACGCATGGTCTTCAGCGAGGAGAGCTTGCTTTCGTTGTCCACACGTCATTGTTTACCCTGTTGGGATAAAATTGCTGTGATCGCAGTGATATCACAGTACATATGGCGCTATCCATTAAACCAGATGGGGTACTTTTAGAGGTTCTTACAGGAAAATGATGCAACGGGAATGTGATATGTTAAGGAATTACCCTCCAGATTCAGGAGCGTTGCGGAATTCCGAACTTTGCCAGACCAATTGTCTATGAAGCTGACAGTAACATTTACTCACCAGGTTCAGCATTTAGACGTGAATGTACTCTATATTTACTTTCGTTGAGAAAGACACTCCAGCAACTAAAACCTTGCTACGTTAAAGTAGTCCTCAAGTCCGGAATTCGATTGTGTTATAGATTCAAGTTAATGAGAGATAGAATCACTTTAGTTCGCTTGACGAAGGCAAATCGATATCGTAAGCTGTATTCATCTAATAGGGCGAAACCCTAAGGAAGTCGACGGTCCAACTATATTCCATGGCTTAGGATTCACTATCTATCACTATATTTTCTCATGGACCCTTGAAATCCCAGGATTCACGGCAGCAGGCGGGAGGCACTGCAATGAGCGATGCCAGCGTTCCCTTTTGAGAACCATGGCAACTCTCGTTTCAAAGTTAATCCGAAAGATGGCGAGACGAGAGCTAATCGCCGAAATCCTATGAAAATTGCCTCCCCTCCCTTTCTTATGGCCGATTTGCAAGTTTAATTTAAAAAAGGCACATCCTCGGATGGTAAGGAAGAGTACTGTCGAAACCCCAAGTTCAAATCTATAAGCATTTGACCTGTAGAGCTGCCACACACACACACAAAAAAAATACACTGTTTTCGGATTGAATTGGTACCCCCCCCCCCCTAGGAGCGCTTCTATCAAGTATAGGCAGGACACCTTGTGGGAGGAAGATGAAGTATTAATAGAACCATCCAACAACCATGTGGAGCATCAGGCTTGACATCTTGAGGATCGTCTGGAAAGCTTGTGTTTTCTCTGTTCTCCACAGTAGGGGGGTACCAATTCAATCCGAAAACAGTGTAAAACAATTTTCTCTCAGCCTAACTAGCGGCCCTGAATCGCGCACACTATGTTTACTATCATCGGCATCTACTACTTCATGGGGCATCTCATTATCACAGGCTTAAGCACCTTTCCACAAACATCATTCCGTGTTATTACTATTGCTGATACAGCTGCAGTCTCTAATACATGGTTTGCTGCTGCGAGTACAAGAGGTCGTCCAACACTTCTGCAGCAGCCTTTCCCTCAAAGTATTTGGACTTCCCTCTCTCATCCTCTTTGTACTAACCTTGTCCTTCCAGGAATGGGATGGTTGGATGCGCAGTGTTTGCGGATATCCATTATAAAATGCTGATGCAAGGCTCACTTCACATTTTGTGACAAACTGCGCTCTGATGGAGGCAGCTTTTTAAATTTTTTTCTTCCAGTCGTGCTCTCATTTAATTCAGGTCATCGTTGGTGCCTGCATGCGTACCGAAAAGATCGCATAGAGCTGCCACCAATATTCTTGACACATCTTCAGCTGCTTCCGCATCACTAGTACCCAATACTTGAAGAGACGGTAGGTATTCTCGTTGCTGTAGTGCCTCCAAAGAAATCCGCACTTTCTTTTTGCCATGACCACAAACTGATGAAACTGTGTCATAGCCAGTGACGCATGAAGAGGAGGAATAATCCTCAATATATCAGTGTTAAGCTTGGGGCAGGTGTCATGAACAGGGATCGACCGTTGGGGATCAGCAGTTGCCGTTGGTATTCCCATTTCCACCCAAAGTGTTTCAGTGTTGTGCATTTGGGGAAAGTAATTCACAGCCAGCATTAAAACACAGCATTTGGTGACTTTGTCACGTTTCATCGAATGTCTGCCGAAAGAAAGTTTTGTCAGCGAACAAAGCATGGAAAAAGCTCATGTTCCTGCCTTTTCGTGAGAGCAAAATACAAAGGTCGTCAAAATTAACGTGCCGGGGTTTTTCAAAAGAAAGGAAACACATCCTGCTCAAAAGTATTGCATAACAAAATTGTCCATGAGTACTGATCCTCGTATGAAAGGGCATCTCTAGCTTCTTGGATCGTAATTTCCCAGGTGTATGTTCCGGCATGAGGTAAAATGCCACTTTCAGTGAAGCATCCCTTCGAAATTGTCTCTCTTGCGACTCATCCTTTGGGTCCAAAGCTCTCTCCTGCCGCCGTCGCTAAGTAAAAGAAGACCTCAAAGCAAACGGTGGCCCTTTGGCTTAAAATATATTGAGGGAGATGAACAGTGGAGGATGTACACGGAAGAAGTCGAAAACCTGTGACGTCATCGAAAGTGGACCGACAGATATTGAAGGTCGGCGATGGGACGATGAAGCCCTTGTCCACTGAGATTGCAGCAGCCCTGGATGGGAGACGTTTCCCAAAGTACAATTCAACGACGGTTGCGCTCATCAGGGATGCGATATGGTCCAGCACTTCAAAAGCCTCTCCTCACGAGAGATTATCGAAAACGGCGGATCCGCTGGTCCAGCAAACATCACCACCCAGGTGATATTTGCAGTTGAGACCACCATCGTCCTGAGTCGTCCGATTTCGAGGGCCTGGTATTATCCAAGGAGAAGAGTGATCGCTGGGACTGTCAAACACATGTGTAAGGTGCATATTTGGGGCTGCTTCTGTGATGGAGGGTTTGGGAAGATCTACATCTTCACCCAGAACCTGGATGCGCATCTGCTGAAGGCCATTTATGAGCGTGCCCTTTTACCTTCTGCAGCTACTATGTTTCCCGATTCAATGAAGAGTTGTGTACTGCAGTAGAACAATGATACAAAGCACGCCTCAAAGCAGGAGACTAACTGAAGGGTTGAGTATGGGGTGTTCCATTTGGACTGACCTAAACCCCATAGAGAATGTGTGGGCTTCTTTGAAAGTCAAAGTGGTGCATCGGCGCGCAAGAACGATCAAGACTTTAAGAGCAGTAATTAAGGACGAGTAGGAGAAACAGAGTGAAGAATTCGTCAAAAAATTGGCAGACATAATGCCGGGCCGATTACATGCTGTAGTCGAAGGTCAGGGCGATTGTATTCCGTATTGAGATCAGGGCTCTGTATGTACTCTGTTGATATAAAAGGTTTTCCTGCATCTTTCGTAGAATAAGAGAAAGGGTTATCTCTTATTCAACAAGTTACGTACGTTAATTTTGACCCGTACTGTAGGTCCTTTCTGGGGTAGCTTTCCAGGAGCAGACGCGCAAACTGTAGATTTCCCATCTTTAAACCAACCAGGCACGTATATTTTTCGCTCCTGGTGTGCAGAAAGAGCAGGAGTACTTGGTGCATTATCAGTAATGTTAATGCAGATGAAGTCAATAAGTGCTGCCTTGTTTGTGGAGAGAGACATGAAATGGTGGAAATGAGCTTCCGACAAGCACCTGGTACTGCTTTGGCATACAGTACTAGTAGCAGAGATGTGCTGATTTCTCTCCTCTCTCTTCATTGAGAACTGAAAATCATACTGATCAAATGCATCCATCACAACGTCTGGTTTTAAGGTACAATCAAGCAATCTCGTCATGTAGTCTTGAGCAAGTTCTTCAGACGTCTTACTATGACCACATATGGACTGTCTTTCAGCCATCGCTTCTCGAATATAGATGCAGAAACTCGGATTTGACACCGAGCCTGCTCGGCACCTATCAAGATTAGCTTCTAAGATATGTGCATTTCTGCCTTTACAGTTTTTTTTGCATTGATCCGTCCTCCTAAGATATCAAGGTTGGCACAGCTGAGATAGGATGGCTCAGTATATGTTGCATCGTGATGTCTCGGCGTGCCTGTTAGGTCTTAAGAGCTCGACGGAAAACAGTTTCTGCACTAATGATTACCAGATTTTTCTTCCCTTGCCTTGGTCTTATTTACCATGCGCGTAAACGTCTTTTTTTCCTCCTAGAAATCCGTCTCAACACGAGCAACGACAGCAGAACAATAACTTAATTAATTTGCGATTGTTGATCATATCAGTAGTCATATATCTCCAGGATCCAAACCCAGTAAAAAGTAAAAAAATGTCATCAGAAGAAACTCCTGCAAAACTCGAGTTGTTTCAGAGGAATAAAAAGAGAAATGCGATTTTTACAGAAAGAAGTCCGCGCAATCTCCCTTTGGGTGGGTACTATTCTTTTTTTTTTTCAAAATTACTCTCCTAGCACCTCAGCTGGAATATGCAGGGTGGTCATAAGGCCTCGAAAACACAAAATTCTTACAAAAATGCATAATGCGCACCTCACATTGTCAATAACGAACTAAATAAATTTGGTGAATGTAAATTTTAAAAAGTTAATTATTTTATACTGAAGTTCCACATGACACCCTTCCAAATCGATACATACCTGCAATGGATCTTTTTTGTTTCTAGAACATTCAGGATGTTCAGCATGTCAGCGGTTATGATGTTAATAGCATCATAGATACAATCTCTTACATTTTCAACATTGAGAATCCTTGAGCTGTAAACCTTTGAATTTAAGTACCCCCATCCAAAAAGTCCAAGGGGTTAGGTCAGCAGATCTTGAAGCCCAAATTTCATTTCGCAAAAATAGTGATGAAATAGATTGAGACCTTATGACTACCCTGTGTATAACAGCCATACGCATAGTACCACATGAAGTTCCACCTGCAGAATTTTAATTTT